ACATAAATATCGTGCTATTTCTGTCATTTTACAAAGAATTCTTAGCGACCGAACTATACTTAAGCGCGACTTAAAATTGAGTAGCGTTTGAGTATTCGGGCAAAAGTGTATTAGTTTTTATTGTCTTCCTGTCAAGACTGCCGGTAGAGATTCCTACGAGAATATGCAGTACCTAGTAACGTCCAATCTATACATATATGTGTTCTCTTTTGTACTGTCTGTGTGTTGTGTATAAATAACACATACACACTGCACCTTACTGTAACTTTAATGCCGATGAGTAACTTCGCATTCAGTACCGAGTGATTACACCTACATAATTATTCTGCTGCACTGTATGACTGATCATTGCAATATTACACAGGACTTGGTCAAGTGCTGTTTATGTGGCGCTTGTAATAGACAATTTAATTTAGTACTTTGATAAACCAGCTTGTTTTCTTTGCAAAATATATTTTAAATACCAGCAGTATTTTATATTCAAAACATGTAAGTACTAGCAAAAACTTTTACAAGGGTCCCTACACTTTGATGATACATATATACCGTTCAAAATTAAATTTAATAAAAAATTAAATAAAGTACCTAACCAAAACTTATTAACATAGACATGAAATGTCGAATACTCACTTGGCGGAGATCTCGTTGATCTTTCCACGTACGAGTTCGAGATTGGCGTCCACCTGCGCCTTGTTCATCTCATACGCCTTCGGCAGAGTGAACAGTGCTATCCACCCTGGAAACATTACAAGCATTTGTAAGTATGTCGTTCATACATCAATAGCAAGGAATAGTTTATGTCTAGACATGGCGCATCCCTGTAGATCTCGGCTTACAAGCCTCCCTACATACTTGCCAACAAAACCCTAGCTTGGGCTGTGGGCTTGTAAAAAAATATGTGCCTCTCGGATTGTCACTAAAAAGTAAAAACCTTCAATCTTCATCTTACCCCGAAGACGATTTCGTAGGGCACAAAGGACCATTTTTTTAAGGGGGGGAAAATCATCGAATGGCTTCTCCCGCCTGAGTGGGGCCTCCCGGCGGGAGTGTCAGTCTTACTGACTAAAAACCACCCCGTTCCTATTTCTGCACTTCGAGCCGGAGCCCCGGCAGCCCGTTAAGTCCTCCGCGGCTCCGTATCGGCATCAGCCCTATTGGGCCCCATCCATGGTGGTCTGATGGCTCTTTGAGACGCGCGCGAACGCGACGCGCGGTACGCCCGAGCGTACCGCGCGTCGCGTTCGCGTCTGGTTCTGGTCCATAGAGAGATTTTCTCACAATGATGGAAAAGCAGTTGGAGTTGAAGGATGCACAAACAAACCCGAGTATGGCAAGACAAGAGTAGGCCTGTACCCAGCAGTACATGTAGCCGAGCTCATTACAACTCGGATGATAATGACCTCACCGTGTATGCAATGCAGCTCCATGTATTAGAAAACAAACTTCGTCACGAAATTCTCTACAAAGTCGTGTCACTTGCTCATTTGCGATTGTTTATGGACGATAGATAGTGGTCATCTACATAGTTATACTTCCTTGTAAACATACTATAGTGCCAAACTACACCATATATAACTAAGTAGCGTTGGTGCATAATAACTGGGCCGTGGGCGTACAAAATTAAAAAGTAATGAGAAACCAACAAGAGCAAAATATGTTATATCGTGAAAATGTAACGAACGGTGTGTCTAGTGAAGTGTGACTTCACGTGCAATGAATTTCGATACCTCCAGTCAACCTGCACCGATCAATCGTTTACCAGGAGAGTGGAGTCGAGTTGAACCGATTTATAAAGGTTGAATTTGGATCTTTAATATTAAATAGTTAGCAAAAATGCCTAAATAAGTGCCGTTATTGACATCGAGGCTTGGTATGGCTAACCACTGGACACGGTGACACGCCCTAGTAACCTCTGTCACGCAAGTGCTAAGTCTGGAGCTTTATGGCAACACGTAACAGCTAGGTATTTACTTTACACGATTAGATCGTTATTTGGTGTACAACAAAATGTCACTAGAATGTAGTTACAGTTTTCGCGTTACAGATGTCGATTCTACCGACCCACTTGGATGAAGGCCAGGGAACTAGGAATGGCACAAAGAACTGAGAACTGTGCCGCGGCCTTAATACTAGTGGGGAATTTTGTAGTACTGAACTACTGAACTACAACATGTATTAGATAACTAACGACGGAGTAAATAGAACTCAGGAAGTTTAGGAACATTTTTTGTCTAACTAGCTTATGATATACCTAGACCCAATCCGACCAATTCCAACACAAATCTGTCCAATTCCAATAGAAATTAAGTTTGTCTCTAACAAACAAAATACATATAAATTGGTATTGCGTTATCTTACGGATATGATGACTATTTCTACATTGTCCGTTTAAATTAATTTAAAATACACGTATTTGTTCCTTTTTTTGTGGGTGCAAAATATAAGAGACATTGATTTTAAAATATCATGAGATCATTTATAGGTACGTTTTATACCTGGCGATGACGTAACGAGCTCCCACTGCTGAATTTTAATTAGTTTTAAGTACCTATAATACTGACCGAGTATGATGAGCGTGATTCCATTGAAGCAGGCCCCTACGTAGGTCAGGCACCACAGCAGGACGCCGAACTTGAGCGAGTCCACCAAGTCCTCAACCAGGAACAACCTGAAGCCAACAACACAGACAATGTTACACACTATATGCTAATACATTAGCACACCTGCAGGATGCATGGTCTATTCATACTGATATGGTATTCAAAAAAACAAGAAAATGTCTTGAATTCAAAGTCGAAGATATTTTAGGTATTTCAAAATAAAAGCATTTTTATTACCCGCCTCAAATTTTAAGGCATTGGTTTCCAGAGCAAAATAATGGATCTTCCAAGTAGTTTTTTTTATTGTTAGGGTGACGTTTGACCACTATCTCGCTTGGTGGTAAGCGATGATGCGGTCTACGACGGAGCACGTCGTCCGCGTCCCATAAGCAATTTATTAATTTCGTTAGTTAGGTAATGATACAAAGGTATGTAAGGTGTAGGACGGTACCTGCGCAGCTCTGCGAGCGCGGCGTTGAGGTGCGCGGTGGCGGCCGCCGCCAGCGACTGCGCGCGCTCCGCCGGCACGCTGATGTCGCGCTCCAACAGCCATCTGCAACACGCGCACTCTGCGGTACTCCCCACGGCCAACACAATACACGTACACGTACACTCGTGTCAAGACACTACTTACTTGAATGGATGACCATCGTTAGTCTTCTGCACAGCCTGTAGCACGTTCTTATAGATGCGGAAGGCGACGGCTGCGGAGAGCGCCAGCAGCGAGGCGTAGGCCAGCACCGACACCACGGAGCAGCACGCCAGCGCCACGAGCAGCGCCAGCCCCGCGCCCAGCGCCAGCCCGCTGTGCGCCGCCGACCGCCAGTAGATCAGCGACTCCACTGCACATCCACACACACTACTTTAGTTAAATCCATACTAATACATACGTAGCTATTACTACTTTCTACGACATTCATCACGACAAACACGGCCTCAGGATAACCCGCTCCAGTTCCTTCAACGATAACTTCACGTTTCACGCTCTTTACGCAGTTTGCATATTCTGTACCGAATACGTTTTGGTTTGTGTAAAACTGGTGGACGGTGATCCACTAACTCTTTTGTACTGAGTTAATGTTTACAGTTAACATTAAGCTACTAGACCAGTAGATCGAACCGGTTTACATTCAAAACTTATAGTAACGACAACACCCAAACACGGTTGTTGCCTTGTTATGGGGCAACTCAGTCGGACGGCGCTTACAGAAAGTACCGTTACACCAGTTTAGTGGCCGTGCCACGGCGTACGGGGACAATGTGGCACTTGGAAACTGCTGAGTAGATACGTAGCTGCACGATCGCACGCCGTAAACATATGGCTTATAGCTGTTACTTTAAACGACTTGGGCATGCGAGATATTCGATTATTTTAAATATCTTGAATCTGTAAGAAAACTTATTTTGATAAAATCGAGATCAAAGTAGTATTGTGCTGAAAGTATTCGAGTAAATACCGAACGGCTTATTACACAGCTCTACTTTAGTTCCACTAAAACTGGCTACGTTACACGGCAGAACTCCGTTCCACGATTAGGATATCGAAGTCCGGGTACACGGTACAAATAGAACGTCTCGCGAAAGATCGGTGGGCCGAGGGTGTCACGCGGAGAGAGTACCTGGTCCTCGGGGCGGCAAAGGTTCTGACTGCGCGTAGTGTCGCGGCGAGTGCTTGGGACGCGCCATGGCGACGGAGTGAGCGGTGCGGGCTCGGCCGGCGGAGGCGCGCACATGGCGAGCGCCACGCGGCCCTGCCTTTCACACACGTCACCGTGACGCTGACCCGCAGCTGACACCGCACTACACCCGCTGCCACGCGACACCTCTCCACCGCGCCAACACTGTCACTCTAGCTACATTCACTCCAATCTGAACCACGGGTCGGTTCAAATACACTCTTACTATCAGACTAACTCCTTAACTTTTTAAGTATTTGTCTAAAAAATCTTATTTTTCCTAATTTTTTTTATTACCTAGGTACATACCTAATCGTTCTATGTTTCGCAGCAGTCGGTTGCCCAGCCACTGTGCCAACCGTACAGTCATGAAATAAAGGACCAGGGACCTGCGAGAAATGCGGTTGGATCTTGACCTCTCGACGATCTGGATTCCATAATAGACTCGCATCAAGGGTTACTTACACAACCAGACCAGACATAAGAACCACATTAATCGAATGATCGTGAGTCATTAACCCGACCTCTGTTACTAATATAGAAGCTACCGGTGTCGGTGGCAGGCATGTTATATTTATCATTTCATTTCAAATAACATTGAGATTTGAGAAGTACCAAACATCTCTAAGTGTCAATCAGTATTCAATAAGTAGGTACTTTACCTAACTAGTAAACTCAAAAAATAATGCAAACGCATATATGTACCAGCAACAAAGTAATGCAGCGTGAACGTTGAAACTGAAAGTCAATGCGACTGTGCGAGTGAAGAAAGGCTTTCATTTATCATTCATAATGTGCGAGCACACAGACGCCGCCGAGGAAAGCGATTCCACGCCACAACAAACACGCAGGCGCTCGCGCACCACGCGTTTGGCACCGAGCTGCGCCGGCGCACGGTCAATGTCGTTTAGCTTTAATTGCCTTATCAATAGTCAACGTATGTAGGTACTAAGTATACGTTGCTAAGTGTAACCATGACAACAGCGATATTTAAGACATTACGTTTACGTTTTTCAACAACAATCACGGAAGCGATATACCTAGATTTATAGATACGTTTGCAAAACATAATTTTTTTTTTTACAATTATTAGAAAGGGCTGTTTATTTCTTTTGTTATTGAGTTCAAACCTGAGAGAAAGTATGATAAGAGTATGTATTATCAGAATAATGACATAATATTGATAACGCACGCATTGTGTTGAACCAGTCTAAATGTAGATTATGTCGAGGTAATAAATATCGAACAAATGTAAGTTTTAACAAATTAAAACTCAAAGTTAAACTTTCAGGAAAGTTGTGAAACCAACTACGTAGGTACTAAGATGTACCTACAAACCTCATTAATGTTATCAATAAAAGAATCCACCGCAGCACCTATTCAGATACCACTGTATAGGGTCAGTTAAAGCAAAACCTAGGAAACATATTAGGCTTGCAGCCTACGAATACAGTCTTACTATATTCGTATATCTTTACTCCGCACTCGCAGCAGTTAAGTAGTACTACTGAATAAAATTGTTAGTTTCACGTATCTGCAAATTACGTGATAATTAATCGACGACATACACGGCGAGCTCGCTTTTCTAAATTCAATAGAGTGTAACATTAGCAAGCAGGCGCTTTGTCTACTACATGTAAGGTTAATAAACATTTAAGTAAACCACAGCCCGAGGGGAGAGACAATAGTTCCGTCGAGGTCGGAGCGCAGTCACACAGCGATAAAAATAACGCACTATCCCTCGTAGCCGACTGTGATTGCAGCTTCCGAACCATCATCGCCAGACGCTTGCTCGGATAAGCATCTACCTACTGAATAAAACACTGCAATCATTTTATTCTTGCTTTGAAAATAGCTTTTAAAATAAAAGTAATACAACTGGTATTACTTTTATTTTAAATTGTATTACTTTTACTAAATTGTATTTTTTTTACATAACCTGATATCACAATAGTAAATATTTAGAGATAACAAAAACGCATCGAAACGTAATAAAAAGTAAGAATTATTATATTTTGTGATCACAATGGAACTAAACAGATGGAATCGGTTAACAAAGGAAAATAACCGTGATAAGGTAAACTAACGACTCTTTGTCTCCAGCGATAGTGGGGCCAAAGAGTCCTCCATAATATCTAATTGCAAAAATAAATTAAATTTACATCGATGCATCAACGATCGATGATGTTTCTGCACAAGAAAATGAGACAGATGAAATTAACAACATACCCACTGCCCAAAATAACACCTACAGATTGGATGGATTCCTTCTCTTCGGTTACAATGGATTCGTTTGGTCATTTGGTGAGATAATAATAAACGGTTCTTTAGTAAATTCATTCAAGCTTCAGCTCATAACTTGTCATTACAATGTTCTAGTGGTTCGTTTTCGCAAGGACGCACTGCCACGGTGTAAATAGAGACATTTAGTCTAAGATCCGGCTGCAGAATCAGTGTACCAATCGAGTGTTTGCTGAAAACCAAATTTTTACACATATTCATGATTAGGAGAATTAATATCCACCAGGTTGCCTATCAAAATGTGGCCGCTAGTATTTTTAATTAAATTATTAATAATTCATAATCCGTAAGAAATTTCATTGACTTTTTTTTTCAATGAAATGTCGTCTACTTTACGGCAACATCTATAAAGACTCTGAAAAATTATGGTTGCCGTTGCGCACCTGGCCGCACCTCTTCGCAGCCAGGTATACACAGGTATGAATTTGTTACATTTATACACCCACAACGTACATTTATAATTTATATATCAAATTAAAGCAAATTTTTTTCTGTATATTATTATATACGGTTGCTTAATTAAATCTGGCCGCCAATAAGGGTTGCTGGCTAATAAATATAGTAAATATTAAAAGTAGAGTGAAAGAGAGCTAGCGCGTAACACCACTAGTCAGACGAGGATAGCGATTGCCAGCTGTCGGACGGTTTAAAGCCATTGCGCATGCGTCAGATTTAACATTTTACGTGCCTTATGTATGAACTCCCAAAGTGCCAAAGTGTAAATGCCGCAAGATTTTTATTATTCAACAAAATGTACGCTTCAAAAGGAAGTAGTGAGAAATTTATGAGAAGAATTAAAGGTTTTGACTCAACGCACATTCCACCATGCTGGAAATCTTTAAAGGAAAAATTATTGCGAACCATCTTTGTTAATTCGATGTGGTTAAATGCTACTGAGCGGGATTGCATCAAGTTCAGCGCGGAAAATAATGGCTGGCTGCTGTTAGATGGTTTTTTAAAACCAACATGGTTCCTGGGAGATCCAACTCCAGCGCAAGTTGAGAATGTGCTGTGTGATTCCACGAACAAGCCTTCCGATAATAACGACGATACCGATATTTCTGATGAAAGTGATAGCTGCGATGATAGTGTGACTGAGAGCTCCGATGATTCAGATTTTTAAAAAAGAGTCATGGAAGTATAATACAAATATAATACATTTTAAAAATTTATAATTTGCTTAAACTGATGATTGATGAATATGTAAAATAAATGTAATACTTGAATAAAATTAAATCTTTTTTCATACAGTACTTGTACAACACAATTTTTTTACATAAGTAACCTTGATTTTATTTATCATCAATATTAATTTTTTTTGTAATTTTTAAATTTGTCATTGACTTTTTAATTTTTTATTTTAGAAAAGAAAGACGTTTCTTTTGGAGTATTTATTATTTTGAGTCGTACCTAGTGACTAGTGGTGTTACGCGCTAGCTCTCTTTCACTCTACTTTTAATATTTACTATATTTATTAGCCAGCAACCCTTATTGGCGGCCAGATTTAATTAAGCAACCGTATATAATATAATACAGAAAAAAATTTGCTTTAATTTGATATATAAATTATAAATGTACGTTGTGGGTGTATAAATGTAACAAATTCATACCTGTGTATACCTGGCTGCGAAGAGGTGCGGCCAGGTGCGCAACGGCAACCATAATTTTTCAGAGTCTTTATAGATGTTGCCGTAAAGTAGACGACATTTCATTGAAAAAAAAAGTCAATGAAATTTCTTACGGATTATGAATTATTAATAATTTAATTAAAAATACTAGCGGCCACATTTTGATAGGCAACCTGGTGGATATTAATTCTCCTAATCATGAATATGTGTAAAAATTTGGTTTTCAGCAAACACTCGATTGGTACACTGATTCTGCAGCCGGATCTCGTACTAATTGTAAAGAGACCTAATTTGGATAGTAAATAGTGAACAGTGGTTAAAAAAGTAACTAGTAAATATTGCGAACGATAGCATCAGTACTAAAATTCTTTTCAGCATAGGTACTAGCGCTGGGACTAAGCCAAAGGAAGCATCTCATCTAAGAACATAGGCGCGATTCTCGCTCTGTTGCTTTTGGATTGTTAGTAATGATACTCAATGGGGAATTCAAATGTAGAGGTACTATAATGAAACTTTAAATGACTTCAAATATTTTGTATTTACTGTAGTATTGGTTGTAGGTACTCTGTATATTATGACGACCACTTTATGACAAGCACATAGAGAGAGGTTATGTTAGGTTCGACTTAAGGTATTGTCAGAAAACACTTTAATAAACCTATTTCAGTAGTTATTATGGGTCTAAGGCTATTTGAAACATTATAATGCACTTTAGCATTGACCTTTTACAGAAAAGGAGCAAGAATGATCTTTTGGCCACTCCTTCAATGTCACTGCATTTATAAATGAAATAGGTAAATCCATTGAAAAAATTGAGCTCTCCCTGCCGTTGTCAGGACTGTAAACACGGAGATTGCAGTTGTTTCAATTTTGGGCTCAACGGTTCACTGTCGCAGCAGCTTATCAAAAATTGCCTAGGAATATGAAATAAATCTTCTACAACACATTTTCTGGATGGATTTGGACGCCTCCCTCTGCACGCGCATCGTTGTGAGAGATATGATAAGCAGTTTGTTCCTAGATTATTTTATTTTCCCACACTGTTTTTTATACCTCTACAACCGTTGTCACGGTGAACACATGGCAAAGCCCAATACCAAAATTAACATTCCAGCACACATGTTGAAAAAAGAATATGATGATTTCATAAATTAATTGTTTTTATAGTATGTCACTTTAGACTCAGCACCATAACTTCTTTGATAAACGTGCGGATATCTCTTAATTATGTACTTCGTGCCTAAAAGAAAAAGGCAAGTAAAATTAAATTATTTGTGACTCTTGAGTTTCATTCTGTCCATGACGTATGTACCTAGTACCTAGGCATTTGTTACATTAGCGCGTACAATTAGTAAGCACCCATTAGACGATCAAGGTGAAATCAATAAGAGTACATGTCGATGAAATACGACTTACCAGTGAAGTCACGTACTGGCCAGCCAGTAAGTAGTACGAGAAACAATACAAGATATCTTGCAGGTACCAACACACCAACCAACTAAGTAATACGATACAATAGTACGTAAGTGTAATCATAGCAAAACTTACGTATCTTTGTAAATTCAGTTGGTAGATGACGGTATGACATACAAATAACGTAATTATGGAATGAAAATGTAGTCTAACGACCCCTAGATGCAAATTCTTCAGACTCAAGTCAATAAATGTACTAACTGCGCGAGCAAGGCCACGAGCATGCAGTAGGTAGAGCACACGACATATATGACACAAGTAGTCTTGTTGCCATTGATTCATTGATGCGATCAATAACTTCGGACACATGTGTGAAGTTATTGTACCTACATGTAAGGTGTAGCCTTATAGTTATAATTTTTATGTTCACTTGAGTTCGATGTGCAGGTAAACATCATTGCAAGGAGGGAAGTAGTGGGTAACACGCCTTAACGTAACAGATACCCGGCTATATGTACACCGACATAGAATTCTTGCGGCCTCCAATGTCCGATCAAGTTTCTCTTGTAGCGTAGAAAACCAGGAAACAAAGAAAAATCAGCGTTCCGTTAAAACATGAACTGTAGTGTGTGGCTGTAGCCTGCAAAGCCACAAGCCACTGAAACAGTGAAGGACGCGCGGTGTAGGTCACTTCTAGGGTATTAGCTTGTAATTAAATTATGGCAGCAAGAAGAAATAAAGATATACATACTTGCTACTTGGATATTCAAGTGAGCCACTTCTCGGCACCCGGTGGTTGATAGGTACACTTGAATAAGATTGTGTAGAAATTTAAAGACATCCTTCGGCCAATATCTTAACGAAACTCGAAACCGAAGTCTTGGTACTGTATGATGGAAACGTCTATTGTGGTTTTGGTGAATAGAAACTTCTTTTTTTGGAAATATGTAAAAATAATTATACGAATCATTTGAACACAAATAAAAATATTCCGCTAATTTTAGTTCTTTTTGGCAAGACAATTGTTGCCAAATTCGATGCAGATAATAATTTATGGTGATCCTACAAAGGAAATCTATCCAGAAAATTAAACTACTAAACCTTGCAGAACGATAGGTATTCAATACAAGTACATTAATGAAGTAACTACAGGCAATTATTTATTTATTATTCTAAACATTAGTCATTCAAAAGTCACACAACTACCGCCAAGAAAATAATAGAAACTGAAACTGGCTCAGTCGCGCACACAAGCACAGGGCAAGTCAAGTCATACTCTTCTTATACGACTATAGCTTACCCAGTCACCTCAAGCAATGGGTATTATGGAAAATGTTCATTAATTGATTCATTCTTACTAAATTACTTTGTTCGCATAAGTTTTGCGTTCTCAATGTTCCTGATAAATACTCACCTACCTACAAAAAAATGTATTTTTCGTCATATTACTCTTTCCATATTTACTTGCTATATATGTATGTATCTACTACATTAAATAGATGTGTACCTGTTTAAGTAACATTTTTTTAAGTCTCATTTTAAGTGATCTGTATTTCTGTAAACCTAATTTAAAGAAGTTTGTATCTCAAAACCAGAAATACAGCCCAAAAATACCAAACTCATATTAAATTTAATCAAGATATCCAACTAATATTAATTCGGATAAGTCCAACCGATGGATCGTCAACGATATAATAAATCAATTTGTTACCGACCTCAGCGTCAGTTAAAATAAGTCTAATTTGATCTTGGCTGGCAATTTGAAGAGAGCACAGGGTGAGTAGCACAGCGCATGCGCGCCGCCACACATTCATTACAAACGCAATATTAATGACATCCAAAAGTCAGATGAGCCATGAGCCAGCGGCACGATCAACTACAATGCTTTATCTCGTAGTCGTAGGTACAGATAAATATAAAGACGTCGCGTCGTAACGGTGACGACACATTAGCTAATTGTGCGGTTACGCACTGCACAGCTATTTGCAGTTTTTGTCTCATACAGGTATAAAATTTCTTATTCGTGTATGGAATAGAGCAACTTTTATTTAACTATATACCCTGATATCAAGAGTAAAACTACATAATTCGTTTATATAATATCTGCGCCTTGATTCAAGTCTAAAATGAATACGACCACTGAGTAGCATGTATTCCGAAGATTAATATTACTTTCTAACTTGTGCATTAATCTACACGCACTGATTGGTAAATAATAGAGACATAATATAATCGAGTCTGGAAGAACCTTGACTCGACACGCGGAGTTATTATTGTTCTGTCACCGGCGGCGACTGCCGTGGTTTGGCGGCAGTTCACAAACACGACAAAACTTAGCCATAGTATGCAGGGAGTGTAGAGTTCCCAGTGCACCCACCACGTTCACCACCACAACCACCACCACCAACACCACTATCACCATCACCGTCACTGGTGTCACCATTTAACCCCGAGCAATCATAAATACATCGATCGGATATCGTCAATTTCACTGGAGCGGGGTTAACACTGAGCCTGTACGAACACTACGAGAGCTAGTAGCTGGCGGTAGTGGGTCACAGTGCAGGGCCGCAGGGCGAGACGCGCTGCGCTGCCCGGGCGGCGAGGCGGCCCGGTTGGCGACGCGCCACCTAAACGTATTTCTGCCCTCCGTTCCCCACGACCACTCACCTTCTGGGTGCAGCCTCTGCGGGTCGAACCAGGCATCTGGAATAGAAGGCTGCGCGTTAGCGGGTTAGTCGCGACAGACAGAGAGGAAAGCGGGCGAAGCGAAGCCGACGCGAGGGGGGAAGGGGGCACTTACGCGGGTTGAGAACGCTGCAGAGGGAGGGCCCGGAGTCCGGCATGCTGGTGATTTACGTAACGCGAATGTAAGGTGGATGAAGGCGGCGGACGGAGCGCGCGCCGCGCCGGACTCTCGCGTCGATACTGGCGGCGCTAGCGATGAGACGTATATACTGGTAGAGGTATATATACCAAGTATGTGCTTCCCAGTACATAGACCGGGTACGGACCGAAATACTGGGTAAATACCTTGAAGGTATGACGTCAGACGCATAGTACGATACGAACCGCTACCACAAGGTAGCGTCCAGTTTTATCGGTAAGTAGGAAGGAAAGATTTCATATCTCATAATGCATAATTACGTATGGGTACTTGAAACATCGTACCTACATTATATTGGAGGCATACCCTACTTATCGCATACGTTTACTTATCGAAATCCTACCACACCCAAATACTTAGAAGTATTTTGATACCCGGTATTTGTACCAGGTATTTAGTGATACCCATACCTTAAAGGCCGGGTATGGAGAATGGCAGGTATATCTCATCTCTAGGCGGCGCAGCCCCGCTCCGAGCCCTCCCGCCCCGCCCCGCAGCGCAGCCCCCCGCTCTCGCCTTATCGCACGCATGCGCATCTACAACCCGGTGAACCACCACGTATGACCACCACCCCTAGCATGTTGCAGCACCACTATAGCCTGACACCGCGGCACGCATGTCCGCACCCTCGCCACTTGGCGTACCTTAGCCTTTTAAGTAGTTAGTGCCAAAGTTAGTCATTACCGTGCGGTTAGTAAGCAGTGCAGTAATTTATTACTATCCAGGGTATATAGATAAATAAATGAAATAAAATGTAATCACATAATTCAAATGACGTAATGAGCGAGAATGAGTGAGACAACATAATGTGGTGGACATCTAAATGCACTCAGCAAGCTGCAGGTCGTAGGTCAACTCGAAGATGTTTAATTGATCTCAGCAGTGACCCACAAAGAGAATTGCCGTTTGAATACTCCTGTCAAGCACGTTCCAGGATTCACGGAACATCATAAATTCATAACAATAATAGGAAAACCTCAAGACACAAACATTTTCATAAATAAATTATTATAAACTTGAAGCAGCTACCAAAAATATGTAGTGCAACAAGGGCATTTTTGAGACTAAAAATAAGAACCTATACCAAAATTAAAAATATCAGAATATGCACCAAACGAAGAAATATAAAATCTCAAGTATCTCAACCCAACAACGTATTATGTCGCTCTTATCTTGTTCGGTACCCAATGTTACGATGACTCATCTCTTTGCTGACTTGCCGTTGTGGTTACCTTGACTTTAACGTATTTTCCTTTGGCACAACATAGTTACAATTGGATGCCACTAAATAACTTACTCGTTCGTTTTATGGTTAGTTCTCGCACGTGAAACTCTTGTAAAGAAACCGTTACAAATGTTGTTCCTAGTCTGAGTGTGACATATTTTTTAATTTGTCAAAAAAATATAATATTTGTCACTGCACCCACAAAACTGAAACACTAGTGTACATTTACAGTTCATTAAATACGTGGGGGGGGGGATGGAATATTTAGGATTGTTTTAGTCCAGTGATTGATTTGACCTATGTTGCAGTAATAGCTGATGCAATTTATATACCGCATGTTTACGTTCCGTGCGTCTTCAGGGTACCTACAAAAGTGTAAAGATGGTACAAAACGGTCGAAATAAAATATGAAAATAGAGCTTGCCTTCTACATTACTTTAAGAGCGCTCAGAGTACAAGTATTTTTCACCTTTAATTTTCAACGGGGTCGAACTTTCATAGCAATTAGAGCAAACTCCTTGATACGTGTACGTTTTGATGTTTTAATTTATATTATAACTGGCAGCCCGTCCCGGCTTCGCACGGGGTAGACAATTATTTATTTTTGGAAATTTGGATTGTTGTAGTGACATAACTACAATAGTTGGACATATGCTATCGCGGAGTTTTTTGTAGACATTATGATGTTCTTCAATATTGTTGTATATTATTTTGTTCTATCGCTAATAGTCTCGGCAGCGCATTCGACGAACGACATTTCATGACTCATTTTTCTACACCTTCGGTTACATTGTTCAAATTTTACAAAGGATCCCTATTTTTTTTCATAATGAAATGTAGCCTGTGTCAAATTGGAAGAATGTAGCATTCTATTGGTGAAAGAATTTTTTAAATCGGCCCAGTACTTTTTGAGCCTATTCATTACAAACATACAAAAATAGGTACAAATCTTTCCTCTTCATAATATTAGTATAGATTATACATATTAGTAAATAAACATAATTATATTCTACTATTTGCTCGCAACATTTTCCTGTTCTAAGTGGGAAAAACAATTACGATCCGTCTGGTCAGTTTAAATCGATGACTAAATAACTATAAATGGATAGTTTAAGACTTATTGCCACGAATCACGACAGGTTGTACTGTCAGTTGATAATGTAATTCGTAGCGATGTCGGGGCGTAGACGGCGCCGTATGTACATTGTATAGCTACTACATAAACTATAGCAGAGAATGAGTCACAACAGTACATTTAATAAGGCAAACACCAAGCGGTCACCGGTGACCGCAACCTATTGTTCTATAATTGTGTCTACAAAACCGGTACTCGACGAGTTAATAAGGCAAATCGATTCCTAACCCTAAATACACCCTTCGCAAAACTATTTTTTGATATCACATACGGCATACCTAAAACTAATAAATAAATATTAAAGTCATCAGACTTTCAGTAATTTATGTATGTAAATATATTTTCTTACATGTAAGGCATAAGACCGTCAGCAACAACCCTAACCTAGTTGGAAAAAGTCCAGGAATCGAAACAACCAAACAATATATACCTAGCTAGAGTATTGTTAACAGATGTAGATACTTTATACCTCGCCCAGAGCGTCGTTGAGAAAACCCACAAATCCAAAATCCTTTATGCCAGGTTCTATATCAAAGACCAATCAAGAAACTTAAAAAGCTACGAGAACACGTAGACATAATATTGCCATCATCACGCGTCTCGTCTTAGACATATAAACCAAATGTCATGTATCCCGAAATAGGATCATTGGCAACATTGGGGACTTATAAGAAAAAAAAAAAGAGCCCTCGTCCCTTTGATTTCAGGGAGCTAAAACCAATAAATACTTAATGATGAAAACAAAGTAAGTATGAAATAAATAAACAAATAAAACTGAAAATGTAGCTATTTTTTTAATTTTCTGGTAATATTACAAGACGGTAATTTCACTATCATTATCTCATTATTGAGTAGGCTGCATAGTAAATTAAACATGAGTGACGTGTGCGACGCCATGTCGCGCCGGTTAAAAATAGCCCGTGCGACTGCGAGACGGGCTCGGTAACGATGACGTCATCCACTACCTGTACACGCCACTTGCATATCCACATACATAATATGTATATACCACATACATATTACAAAATTCAATGTGGATTCGCCAATACAAAAATTGCTAGAACATTTCTCCCAAATTATTTTTTAGGTTATACTTTTGTTCATATTTTCTAGACTACCTACTTCATTATGGACGTTAAATTTTTCGACATAATATTTGGACCAGAACCGCGGATATACCTATAGATTGAAAAATTTCAACATTTAAATTATTTGTACGAAGTTTGTTATACTTTTTCGTCTCGATACTCCAAGCGACATTGGGTACAATAATGACTAAAACCAAAACAGCGAATGTCCTTGTAAGTAGCAATTGCAGGCTGTTGCAACTACTAGAGCTTGAATTATTGTGCACGCGACTACGTTTCGGATATTCCATTCTTTTTATTTTTTGATTCTGCCAATTTACCAGAAATCCCCAGTTACATTTAAATACATCTTTGTCAATACTCAATAATAGTTAATTATTCTTATTGTATGTGAACACTATTCTAGAAAGATAGTTTTGTGCTTTTTCACAACACATATAAATGATTATAGTTCTATAGTTTAAAGGTACCTAAATTGTTGACGTGACAATACCGCACATCCACCCTTAGCATAGGCACTTAAAGCTCCTAGGTTAGCAACCACTAGTCATCGAAAAGAAAGCAGACGGTGACAGTGTGTCTGTGCGGTGGTTGGCGAACATTCAACATGTATCGATCGCCAGCCCGAGCTCACCCTCGCGACCCCCGCGCCAGACACTACTCCGGACTAGCCTTTATTGCAGTCATGTATGAAATTGTTAAAAAAAGGTGTGATAAGCACTAGGTGATATCTTTCATGATTTTTACTCCTAGGACCTATCTTCAATTTAACTTTTGTTATTTTTACAAGATACCAAAAGTATGCATTTACAAAACCATAGATAATAATGAATTTTAAATTTTGCCTGCGTTGTTATTATTATGAGTGAGTAAACAAAGGGTGGCAGAGAAATGATGTCATCCGAAGATGAGAACAAGGGTCACGAGGGGTGTAGCGCAGCGGTTAATACATTCTGCGAAGGTTGGAATTGGGTCACGAGTGTGAAACCATACCTATACATAAAATGATGGCAGCAGACTCGTCTCATATCGACATGTAGTGTAATAGATAAGATTCGACTAAAGATATCTATTTGATAAATACATTAACAATATATAAGCTTTTGCCAATGGTTTCACTGTATTTTATTACAGACTACCTATAATGTAGTCAAATTCAGATTCATTCTCTGGCTTCTGCGTAACAAACATAGGTACATTCATAAATTGTCACAAACAATGCATTTTAAAAACTAGTAACAATTAACTCGTCGAGTACCGTCATTATAGACACAATTATAGAACAATAGGTTGCGGTCACCGGTGACCGCTTGGTGTTTGACAGTTTAAGCAGAATAATACGAAGAATTATGCACGTTGAGCTATGTGATTTGAGTGAGTATGGATATCATTAAACGAAATAAAACTTAGTTTATTAACTAGAATAGCGCAATAATGCTAATACGGCTAATTATACAAGTCAATGATTAAAATCATCGCTTGTGATGCAAGAGAGGAGTTTACTGTTGTGGTACCAGTTTTATTATAGTTTTGGTAACCTGGTCTTTCCATTCTACACATAAAAATAATTCAAAAGACAAGTGCTTAATCAGCAATGTTAATAAAATTAACAAAAAACGTCAATTTACTGTAGGATCCAATAGTTTCTACAACAATTAATCTTCGCAGGATTAGGGTTTCTGATTATCTTCTTGCTGAGAACCCATGGGTGTATTTCCTACATTGCCATAAAATTGAACTACGACACTGAGTCACATACCTATAAGGATATAATAATAGTGTGATGATCACAAGAAATACCTACCATATTTTTGTTGAGATCAAACTTACACTGTGTGGGAAAATTTGTTTAAATTAAACTGAAGGTCTTTCGCAAACAATATTTTGCAAGGGACACTTATCTTTAAGTAATATGAAGCCTATTGTGAATAAAAATAAGATTATAATGATGTAGTCTCTTATTGACTACAATATCTGCACTGCACCCGAGAATATTCTTAGGTATTGACATTTATAAATGTAACTGATCCAAAATTAACAGCGGAAGCACATCTGACGTAATTTTTAATGCAGAATAACGCGAGGATTTATGTAGGTTATCGTAGTATTAAATGTACAGGAATGTAATCAAATACTTATTCTCGTTTGTTTTACCTTGTTATAAAAACATTAATCTAAAAACTTCGGCTGTATTCACTGACACCCAAATCTCATCTCCGAATTGTTTCACTACAGCAGCTTTGCTACTTACGGGTGATATCGTCGCCATTTCCGGATCCCATGTTTCACACAAACAAATTCCACACAACCGGCAAGTTCTCTCGAGAGTGAATCACAGCATGAGCACACGACGACGCTACATCAATGTCAAGCAAGCATTCGGAACAGTAGGCGGCTGAAAAGCGGGAGCTCGCAACGACGACGGCGGCGCAGGCGACGTGAGCGCTCGGCGAGTGCTCCGCTTGTGAACGCAGCGCGGTACTGCTTCAGTGGTGCTAAAATTAGCGATGGTAGTCGTGCATACCACACGTCACCGCCGCTTGCCGCCCGCGCACTACCATACCCGGTGACACTTTTTGCTATAACCTTCAGCAAAGTTAACCAGATAACTAAAGTAAAGGCACCATCTATACTTGCTATTTCATTACACAAGAGGCACTGATTCTGCCATGCGACAATAATGCGATGATTACCATAATGGGGAAACCCTATTGGATATTAACCCTTCAACTTCCCGAGTCATAATATTATGCACATTTTGTATATTTGGTTTAGCATATAATTATATATACTGAGATAGTACTGACTGAATATAATTCCTATTATCGTTATTATAATGCTACATCTTAGCAACAGTATTTTGTAGTTCAGTTAATAGCTCATGATATGGGGAACTGATAGGAAACATTTAATAGGAAATGATGAGTCATAGTCACTACACCAGTAATAAGACTTAAGACTGAAGAGTTAAATTAATGAAAATGTATTGCTATCAAGACGCATGATATCCATTCACAATGGATGGACTCAAGAATGCAAGGAATAAAGCAATAAGGATACACAGGAGCTGGCCGAATCGGACGTAGACTGAATAATATGCGGGCTGAATACTACACAATCGGATGTCCGCATGCAGCGCGAGTGAGCCTGTGGGTGCCGTTACCCCGACGTTGTTGCAGCGCGGCGGTCAACGCTCTTGCCGCTTCGCCACCTCTGCAGCCGACCTCCTCTACCCCTCTAAACCCCTATTAGACTGGCGTCACATTCGACGAGCTCAGATTACTTATAATTTTGTGGCAAAACATCGTGAATGTATCAAACTACTTAATGTTCATTCCACCAAAAAAATTACGTCATGATAATGCGACAAACATGTTTAATTTTATAGATATGCGTAGAAATATCAATTTTATGAAAGACAACAATATTATGCGGTGTTCAGGTACTGTAACTGTAATACACTTGCAGATAGGTTTAATGTGCACGGGCATTGTTCTGCAGACACGAATTTTCACGGTCCGTAGCGTGCAGAGCTGTGTTCGCCTTCAAATTGAACCATTCTAATTTTCTAAAACTTACCGTGGCGTACAAAAAACCTGCCGCTAGCGACACCAGCTCTAGCACGAACAATGAAATCACTACTACAGTACCTATATAACTATGAATCAGAACATCAATACCTTGATTTTAGCCAGTGAAAATAATGTTTAAAACGATGATATGTAATGAAATGTAAATATTATCCAACAAAGAAAATCTTACCCAGTCCCATCTGGCAGAAGATAACCTCGGCCTCAATTACATGCGCTATTTGGCGTTTTGGCTCTGGAGCCACTACTGGCTTTGGTGGAGGTACTGGTTCCGACTGCATGGGAACAGGGTCCACGATCGGCGGCTCAGGTGTCGGCTCGCGTGACTTTGCTGGCTTGGGCTCCTCCGGTAGAGGCTTCTCGGGTGCCACCGGTACACTAGGAGCAGGTGGCGAAAGAGGTGCCAGTGCGGTCGCTGGCGCTAGAACAGGTGTAGGGTCGCTCGGTGGTTCAGGTGTATAGCCAGCGGCACGTACTGCCTCAGTTCTGGGCTCCACCCGGTGTATGGGAGACTCGCCAGCCGTGTCAGCGTCTGACTCACTATCTGTGAACTTGTCAGCGATATGGTCTGCCGAGGCGGAAGGCGCACGAGGCGGCTCCGACAGTAGCTCGCGTTCCATATCGAGGAAACTGCGTGTAGCGGCGGCAGGCTGGCGGTGAGGTGACTCACCAGCGTCTCTCTTTCCGTCACGATCAAGATGTTCAAAATCGTCCATTGAGTCCTGATCCCTCTTCATGGTAGGCTCCAAAGGCGGTACGTCTCCTGCTGGTACGGAGTCTCCACTCGCGAGACCTCCGAGAAGAGCATCGGCGCCATCCATGTTTTCTTACGTAAAAGATAAAGGAGACTGAAGTCGAATCGAGTGATCGATAGGGTGCGGGAATGGCGCGAGTGCGAGAAGATGCGAACGCGGAGGGCGGGTCCTGTCGTGTGTCCTCGCCGTATCGTACTGCGGTCTGCAAATCGTTTGCCGGCCGCGGCTGCACGACGTCACTCAGCACGAGAGGCGAACGGTATTACTCATCGCCGACCCCTCCGATGCAGCGGGGGCAGCGCCGTTTGCCGGCAATTTAAATAGATTAAAAATTGAACAAATTAAATTATACCAGTAAAGGAAAACAGTTACAAATAAATGAAATATTTTTAGAAGACGCAAAGATCGTGAAGGTTTCTCTTTATATGTAAATAAAATTAAAAAACTGGAAATATTTAGCGCAAGCAAGAAATTGCTGAGAAAAGTATTGACTTTTCGATCCAGACCTTTTTGAAGGCGCGCTAAGTTAACACTGTTTTACCGACATTTCCAAAGACAAATATTTCACTTTTTCACAAAATTCTGAACTAAGATCGGATACGCTCACCGATCTCAATAGCCGGGGTCCATTCATTTAGCTAAAAATAAAGGAAGAATGAAAAAGTAATTTTTTTTTTTTTTTTTTTTTTTTTTTTTTTTTTTTTTTTTTTTCGAAAAAATAATTTTTTCTTGAAAATATAATAACGTCATCGACGTTTTGTATGGGGCCAATCTATGTGCCCTACGCAAGAAGGATGGCGGTATTCGTCCCATTGCCGTGGGAACAACTTATCGTCGCATGGCAGCCAAGATTTGTTGCAAATTTTATAATAATCTTCTTTCGGAAAAATTCCAGCCCCTTCAACTCGGGTATGGATCTAGAGGGGGCTGCGAGGCTGCCGTGCATGCGTTGTCGACCTACCTGAATTCCAGGAAAGGTGATATCATCCTGAAGGTTGACATTAAGAATGCTTTTAATTCGGTCAATAGGGATACTCTGTTGACAGAAGTTAAAAAGGAAGTACCCCAAATTTTTAGTTTTCTCTGGCAATGTTATAGACACCCTACAAAATTATTATATCAGGACAACCTTTTGGAATCAGCCGTTGGCTGTCAACAAGGCGATCCCCTTGGGCCAGTGATTTTTAGCCTGGCCATTAATCCTATTATACGACAGCTAAATTCTAAATTTAATGTGTGGTACCTCGATGACGGTACCCTGGGAGGCGATGCAGATACAGTTTTAAATGATTTCCAATTTTTAAAAAACGAACTTCATGCTATTGGCCTTGACCTAAATTATTCCAAGTGTGAGATATTTTTACATGACTCTACCGACAGACAGATCATATCAAAATTTACTACTTTTGCGCCTAATATCTCGGTTGTCGATAAATGTTCGCTTCGCCTCCTAGGTGCGCCCGTCTTCGAGGACTCTTTTCAAAGTTTTATTGATGAAAAAATTCAAAATTTTTCTGTCGTTTCAGAAAGACTGTATCACATTAGAATGCATTCGGCCTATACTATTATTCGTTTTTGTTGTTTTGGTCCCAAATTTATGTATTTTTTGCGCTCGACCCACCTCTGGTCTGCACCCCTTCTTTTAGAAAAAATTGACCGAAACATTAGACAAACTTTATCCTTAATTTTGAATGTGGCTCTCGACGACCGAGCCTGGACACAAGCTACTCTGCCTGTCCGCATGGGTGGGCTTGGCGTCCGTAAAATTTCCAGTGTAAGCCTACCAGCTTTCATATCTTCCGCCCATGGTACTGAAGAATTAACCAGGAAAATTCTTTCTCAATCACTGGTTAATTTTGATGTACCATTTTTAGTGGAAGCTGTGAAAGCTTGGAAAATCGCTTGCCCAAATATTGACCCCCCCGTCAAATCACTCTCCCAGAGACAATGGGACGAGCCGCTCTGCAGGAAAGTGAGCGAAAATCTATTGAACTCCGCTTGTTCAACTGCAGAGCGAGCTCGCCTTTTGGCTGTGGGTGAGTGGGAGTCAGGGTTATGGCTTCTTGCTTTGCCTTCGTCCAACTTAGGTACTTTGTTGGACGACACCACATTCCGCGCTGCAATTTGTTTAAGGCTTGGGGCTTCATTTTGTTCACCTCATCGTTGTCGTTGTGGTGAAGATGTCAACAGCCTTGGACACCACGGCTTGTCGTGTAGCCGTAGTGCGGGTCGTTTTGCTCGACACGCGAGTATTAATGACATCATTCGTCGAGCTCTTGTCTCCGTTGGCGTGCCAGCTACTTTAGAACCTAATGGCTTGGTACGCAACGATGGCAAGAGACCCGACGGTATGTCATTATTCCCTTGGAAGATGGGTAGGCCTTTAGTATGGGACGCCACTTGCGTTGATACTCTGGCGCCATCCCATCTTCCAAACTCAGCGTGTCGAGCCGGTGCTGCCGCTGCTGCTGCCGAGAACCTCAAACGGCGAAAGTATGATAGCCTGATTGGCAATTATGCTTTCGAACCGTTTGGGGTTGAAACTTTAGGGCCGTGGGGCCCAAGTGCACATCTTCTTTACAAAGATATTGTAAAGAGGATGGTTGACACTTCAGGTGATCGAAGGGCTGGCTTCTACCTTGGACAAAGGTTAAGCATTGCCATTCAACGTGGTAATGCTGCCAGTCTTTTGGGCACCCTACCTCACGATAATGATGAGGAAAATTTTTTTTTTGATGCCTTATTATAGCTTATTTATTTATTATTACCTTTTTTTTAAGGTGTAAATATTTTAGTTCATAGTTATTTATATTTTAAGTTGTATATATTTTCATTTAGTTATAGTTAATATTAATTGTATATATAATAAGTATGTATTTTCAAATAAAAGTAATTAAATATAGAATTTTGTCATTTTTCGTGTATGTGGTGCTAAAGTACTTTAGTAGAACTCAGCGTCAGGTTGGGCTACTACTAAGTTAGTATACAAAAATTACTAAGTACTCTCAAGTATAAAAAATGTTATTCGATTATAATTTCATAAGTAGAAGTATTTATTTTTGACAAACCGTACAACAATAACTTTACCTACTGGCTAGCTGGCAAGTACTCTTTTGTTTCCGTTTTTATTACTAATACTTGATCTGCTGATTCTAATATTCGATATTAGAAAATATTCCAATTTAGGGAAATTCAAAAACAAAGATAGTATAATTAAAATTATAATTATATGAAAAAATTGTGCATATTTGAATCTATGGACTTACAAAATTATTGTCAAATATCAATAATGACAGTGACACTGACAGCGCCGTCGATAAAGCAGTCTATTTAGTTAGATTCGAATTGGAAAACCTATGTAGCTTGGTATTGCAGCGTTCTTAGCGCTTGAGAGGCGCTAACATCTTTCCGACAGTAAAGTGACTTCATAGACTGCGGTTTACAGTGTAGTAAATAATTAAATACAGCGCTTCTATTCAGCGTAGTTAAAGCTGCGTGAGGTATTTCAACAGCAAATATCGTACCACCTATTATTTCCTCCAACCACTAATAACTAGATAAAGTGTTGTTAGTCCACAGCTAATATCTCTGAGGATAGGATGGCGACGACAATAGCGGGTAGCAGGAATGTAAGAGATTTAAGTAAACCAGATGAATATGGTTTTAAAGGATTGAAAGAAAATGTACATAATGGAAAAACTACCAATGGTTTTATGAAATCAAACGATCTAAGAAATGGTGACACTGTAAGTAGATATTCATTTATTTATTATCCTTCCTGTTTAACAAGCAATTGCGCTTACTATATCTAATAGCGTGATACCACCGCAGCCGTGAAGAGTATGAGGAGCCAGTATTAATTTTTTAACCCTGGTGTGGTCGCGTGGACTACATATGTAATCCACCTATAGAAAATTGATCATTTCCAACAATCGATTAGCTCTAACTTGTGGCGCCTCCAGGTACTTTCAAATGAATAATTGTGCGATGCGCTCAGTGCAGCTCAAGCGTAGGACTCGCGCGGTTGTGTCACAGGAGCTCAGTAAAGAGTGTGGACTACAAGTGTAATCCGCGCGACCAATCACGTAAGTTTTTTTTTTACATTAATTTATTACGTTTTCGTTTATTTTGGATAAAATATACCTTATTTTGTTTTGGTATGTTGCTATAATAATATATAATGTTTGTTTTTAGAAAAAAAATGGACAATGCACGTGATGCTCTAATTGAGTCGTGGCTGACTGAAGTTGATGTCGGAAATTATGTAAATCAAGCTCTGATGAAAAAGTTGACAATTTAGAAGAGGAAATCCATCAATCGGAATTCGAGCAAGAGCAAGACATACCGGGTGAGCGATCTGACGAAAGCTCTGAAGATGATCTACCTCAGTAACGCCGCCGGCGCACTGACTTTTATAAAGGAGTAGATTACGGGCATATAATAGGACTAAGAATGGAGCTGCCCTGGTGGATAAAATGTGTTCCATGTATGATGTAGCGAGAAACTCAAGAAGATAATCTCTTACAATTTTTTCCGCTTGTGGAATTTGAGTGCACTCAATGCATTGTGTATTTACACAGCAAACAGGAATTATGAACCTGTGAGCCGACGTGAGTTCCTAATTGACTTGTCTCTGGCATTTATGAAGCCACTAGCACAGAAGAGATTTGAAAATAAATCGTTGCCAAGAACTCTAACAATCAGAATAAAAGATTTTCTTGGTATTACGTATGCCGAAACTCAACCCAATACCTCGGAAGGAACATCGAGCAATGTTGTGCGCCGTTGCCATGACTGTGGAAGAGCGCGCAATAAAAGCACTAGAAAGATGTGCACCAAGTGCAGCAAGTTTGTATGTGGGGATCATTTGAAGATTATGTGTCTATCCTATGCAGAAAATAACATTTAGATATTAGTTTTTACCGTTTTTATAAATTGTGATCTTAATAAGA